ATTTTGTGTTGTGAAGGACCAGCACACAGGAATACCACTCCTCAAGGGAATCTTTAAAGATGGGCTTTATACCTTCAAGTTGAAAAAGGAGGATTCTAAGTTTCCCATCTCTCAGTTTCAGAATCAAGAAAAAAAGACCTCAAGAAGTTTAGATATTTCACTAGTTCTGTTAATGGCTTAGTGTTATGGCATAGAAGGCTAGGACACCCATCTTTTGATATCACAAAAAGAGCTCTTGATGCTTGTAATCTGTCTTATGCCTTTAATAAAAATACTCTTTGTTCAGATTGTGTTCAAGCTAAATCTCATGTCTTGCCTTTCAATGCTTCAATTCATACCACTGAAAAGCCATTGGAACTTATTCACACTGACCTTTGGGGGCCAGCTCCTGTTAAATCCACCTCAGGAGCACTTTATTATGCTGCTTTTGTTGATGATTACACCAAATTCACTTGGTTATATTTCCTTAAACAAAAATCTGAAACTTATAAAGCCTTTGTCCACTTTCAAAACTTAGTTGAGAATCAGTTGAACCTCAAGATTAAAGCAGTTCAGAGTGATGGTGGCACTGAATTCAAGCCATTGTCCACCTTATTTTTAGAAAAAGGGATCCATCACAGAATCTCATGTCCATACACTCCTCAACAAAATGGATTAGTTGAGAGGAAACATAGACAAGTGGTGGAAGTTTCCCTTAGCTTGATGTCAGCTTTAGGAATTCCTAAAAGGTTCTGGGAACAGGCTTTTTCTACAGCCATATACCTGATAAACAGAATTCCAAATAAAACCATCTCATATCAGTCACCTTATCACAGACTCTATGGCCACACTCCCAGCTACAAGCACCTTAGAGTTTTTGGTTATAGATGTTTTCCCCACATGAGACCTTATACTAAGGACAAGTTAGATTTAAGATCAACTCCAGGGGTGTTTTTGGGGTATAGTTCTCAATACAAGGGGTACAAAGTTCTTTTAAATAACAAAATCATTATTTCTAGAAATGTGGTTTTTGATGAGTCTCTTTTCCCTTATAAGAAAACAGATGTTTCAAGGCAAATTGAGCAACATTATGATGTTTCTGGTTTTTCTTTTCCCCCTCCCTTGCATTGCACTACCACACACCCACAAGTGCCACATAATACATCCACAGAACACACTTCACCTTCTGTAACCATTATACCTCCAAACTCACCACTGCATTCTTCACCATCACCTTCTCATTCTTCATCACCTTCACAAAACCATACTACTTCATCCCCCTCAACCTCTCATAACTCTTTCTCACCCTCACCACCCCACACAGAGGCAGTCACTACTAACATGGAGATTTCCAGTCCTGTGACATTGCAGCCATCAACTCAAACCACAGGCCAGCCTGTTCATCATATGATGACAAGATCAAAGAGGGGCATTTTCAAGCCCAAAGTATATGCTTCTTCTTTTACAGCACATGAACCTCAAACTATTGAAGAGGCCTTTTTAACACCACATTGGAAAGAAGCTATGGAAACTGAGTATCAAGCACTTCTCAAAAACAAGACCTGGACTGTTGTTCCCTTGCCATCTGACAGAAAACCTATAGGCTGTAGATGGGTGTTCAAAGTAAAGCACAATGCAGATGGTTCTATTTCCAGGTACAAGGCCAGACTTGTGGCCAAGGGCTACACTCAGGTAGCAGGAGTAGACTTCACAGAGGTCTTTAGTCCAATTATCAAACCAGTGACTATAAGGCTCATCTTTCTATTGCTTTGACCAAGGCTTGGAAAATCAAACAAATTGATGTTGATAATGCTTTTGTAAATGGGACCCTTGATCCTAACACAGAAATATACATGGAAGAACCTCCAGGATTTCAAACTCACAAGGGCCTTGGTTATGGCTGCAGACTCCACAAGGCCATCTATGGTCTTAAGCAAGCATCCAAAACATGGTTTGATAAACTTACTCAGGTTCTCATTGCCTTGGGTTTCAAGCAATCCCTTGCTGATACTTCTTTATTCATCAAAGCTTCTTCTCTATATATCATCTATGTACTTGTTTATGTAGATAACATTGTAATCACAGGGAATTCAGTCTCTACCATTGATGATATTATTTCTTCTTTAACAAAGGCCTTTGCTTTGAAAGATTTGGGTGATTTACACCATTTCCTAGGCATGAAGATCCTTACACTAAGGGTGGCTTATTGCTGACCCAACAGCATTACATTTCTCAGATTCTTCAAAGAGCTCACATGGAGAATTCAAAAGCTCTTAGTACTCCTATGGTCAGTTCACCTGCTTTGTCTAAGTTCAATGACAATTCTCTCTCTGATCCTTACCAATACAGGCAGTTGATAGGAAGTCTTCAATACTTAACTATCACAAGACCAGACATCACATATGCAGTCAACAAGCTTAGCCAATTCATGCAATCTCCCCTTGAGCCACATTGGAAAGCCATGAAGAGGCTTCTGAGATATCTTGCTGGTACTACATATTATGGTCTGTTCTTTGTCAAGTCTTCTAACCTTCATCTCACTGCCTTTTCTGATTCCGATTGGGCCTCTGATCCTGATGACCGCAAGTCCACATCTGGTCATTGTGTTTTTATTGGTGACAATTTGATCTCTTGGAGCTCAAGAAAACAACACACTGTTTCCAGAAGTAGTACAGAAGCTGAATACAGGAGTTTGGGAGCTGCTGTTTCTGAGATTATTTGGATCAAGATCCTTCTTCATGAGCTGCACATTAGAAAACTACCTCCTCCTACCATTTGGGTAGACAACCTCAGCACAGTTTTCATGTCTTGTAATCCAGTTATACAAGGAAGAACAAAACATATTGAAGTTGATCTCCATTTTATTAGAGAAAATGTTCTTAACAGGTCCATATCTGTCCTTCACATTCCAGCTATTGATCAGACTGCAGATTCTTTGACCAAACCACTCACGGGCCAATTCTTCTCTCGCATGCGCAACAAATTAAGAGTTGTTCCTCTCGACTCGCTTGAATTGCGGGGGGACTGTTAGATATTCATTTATATTAACCTAAGTCTTGTTTAGTGTCTTAATCTCTCTCATTATCTTTCATTTTCCCTCACATGCACACTCCATGCACGTGCTCTTCTCCTTTTTATAGTACAACATGCACTAGCCGTTTTGTTTGACTTCTTCTGCAGTTTGTTAGAGCTCTTTGGCTCTTTGTCATTTACGGATACCTCACCATTATTGTTCTTATCCTTTATGATTCTAGGTTTTTCCCAACAGGCTATATAAAGCCTTGATGTAACAGCCACTTATTATCATCGATTTTATAATATACATAGCTGTTGTTTGTTTTCAAAGTGTTCTTGAGTTTTCCTGTTTTTCAATCAACTATGGTGATGTTTGTTTCCAACACAACTAATAAAGTAATAACTCTAAGTTTTGTCAATGTATAATATTTAAATTTAAATCATTCAACTAGTAACGTAATAACCGCAAAATTTGACCAAAATGATTCTGTACATTAACTTAGGCGGGATTTCCCAAAATTTGGCAAAAATTATTACTCAATATAGTAAATAATTTAGGTGGAAAATCAAATGTTTTTTTTTTTTTGATTATTAGTTGTTATTTCAAGTAAATATCATTACCTCTTTATATATTAATAGATTACAACCAAACCATTCTAATATCTTATTACTACAATTAAACTTAAGAAAAGATTAACAACTAAAACAATTTGTATAATAATTATAAACTAACTTATTATCTAACAATGTTTTATCTATTCACAATTATTTTCTTTTCTAAAAATATTTTTTCGTTCAGTAATTAATAAGACTAGTACGACACACATGATCACAAGGTGCTAGTTAATTAAATTATACTGAAATTCTTAAAAAAATGTAAGATAAACTTTTATTAATTAAATTTCAAGTACTTTTTAAAAAATTGCATAATTATTATATTTAAAATGAATTTTCACTCGTACAATTTTTACGTCTTATATTATGATGACTTTTCTAATTCATATGTAATGAACCTAAAAATATTTTTATTAACTTTTAATTAGTAGTAATTGATGATTTAATTTTATAATAAACAAAATAAATTATTTATTTATTTATCTATCTTATATAAGAAGTATGAATATCAAATATACACTCTTCAACTTATAATTAATTTAAAAATATTATATGAAAAATCTAATAGCAACTAAGAAAAATTATTAACTTTAAAAATATCAAATATTACACTCTTCATTTTCTTCATTTTATCAGTGTTGAATTTTTTTGACTAATTGAGTCACCACAAGGCTTAGGTTAGTGACGTACAAGGTTGCGTATGTTTAGGCCAACTTTTATTTTTTTTTTAATAAAAAAAGAATAAAAATATAAAAAAATGAACTTGCATGTATAAAGTCATTGGCCCTCACTACAAGTTTGCCTATAAAAAGTGACGTTCAAAGGTTGATCCAACCCATAAGCAAGTTATAAAGATTTTTGTGCTCCTTAATTTATTGTTATTATCAAAATTGCATTTGTGATTTTAGAGTTCGTTGTTGAAATGGGAAAAATATCCTTCAGTGTGATAATATCTCTAGTGGTTGTGTGCTTCATCTTGATCTTCAAGCTGAAGGTTATTAATGCTTCTAATGCTTCTAATGTGTTTGTTTAATTAGGTGATGCTTTATACGCCTTCAGGCAAGCCCTAACGGATCCTAAAAAGAATTTACAAAGTTGGGATCATACTCTTGTCGACCCTTGCACATGGTTCCATGTTACATGCGATGACTCAAACAACGTAATAAGAATGTAAGCAAGCAATGCCCTTAATGTTCCTTTCATATTTCGTTTTCGTGTTAAATTGCAAGTATTCGTACTTTTTGTTGACGAATCCCAAATGAAACAGATTTATAGATTCATGACATTCATGATTTCAGATATTATTGATAATATGATTGGATTATGAGATGTTAATAATCTAATTATGATATATTTTCTTAACCAATTTTGTGGTCAGTGATATCGGCGGTATGGAATTGTCAGGGCCATTGGTTCCCCAACTTGGAAATTTGCCGAACCTACAGTATTTGTATGTATTATTTGCGAAAAATAAAAAAAAATATTATTGTTCTTTATATTATTGTTTTCATATGTCTGTAATTTGATTTGGATGATACAGTAATGTTCCCCTACCCACTGTGGGCACATGTTAATATGCCCGCTTATGTGGCATGCACTTATTGGTGATGTATTTTTTTGAACATATTAACATCACCAATGTGTGCATGCCACATAAGCGGTGGGCATATTAACATGTGTCCACCGTGGGTAGGGGAACATTATCCTTAGATGATAATGAGAATAAATATGACATTAATTAGTTGCAAGGAAATAACAGTAACTATTAAAATCGAACACAATATTGGCATAAACTGTTCACTAAGTAATTGCAGAAAGTTTTAACCCATATATGCCCCCAAATTACTGGGTACACTTCACGTTTTTCTCAAAGATGTTGCAATATTTGCAAATACAATTAATTTTGTGTTATGTTGCCAAAAAAAAAAGGATAAATTTTATTAAATTTTATACGCTATATATATGTATATATATATATTGTTTGAGTGACAATTGTTTAGTTGAACTAATAATTTCTATCAGTTTGTTTTGATTTGATTTGGTGTGAATTTAATAGAGAGGTATACAATAATACGATAAATGGGACTATACCATCGGCGCTTGGAAATCTTATTCAGTTGGTCAGCTTGGACCTTTACGACAACCATCTCACTGGCGATATTCCACCGGAGTTAAGAAAACTGAAGAATTTTAGATTCCTGTACGCGAATTCAATTATTTTATAAATTTATACTTATACTAATGAAATGTCATAATTTTTTTCTATTGTGATTTGAAACATAACATTTTAATTTAAAATTATACATATCACTTGAAAAATTAATATTGCCCAACCATAGCCTAATTAGTGCTATTTGTATTGGATAGGCTACTTGTAATAACTTTTACCAATTTTTACTATACAATATTTTCCTTCGTTCCAAGCTCCAATATTACAATATATTTCTAATTATTATTATTACAACTACAAACTTAATTAATGTGATTTCTCTTTATCTATCTTACGACTTGTCTCTTTGATTTTTGCATGGACAGTCGCTTATATGATAATGCGGGTTTATCAGGCATCGTACCTGAGGACCTGGCGTGTAGCCAAAACCTTAAAGTTGTGTAAGTTTCCAAGTTTCATTCATCAATAATAACGAAACGAGCTATAGAAAACTTCACAAATCCTTATTTTCGAGTCTTAACGAGAAGAGTTTAGCAGTTTATTAAACGAGCATTAATTAGACGAGCTCGAGCTCAATCGTATCTAAAAAAGGAAAACGAGCCGAGCTCACACTCAAGTTCTGCCCGTTTATCAAGTGAGCCGAGTTATGCTTGAACGTGAATTCGACTGGTTGCATTTAACAATTCTCAAAATCCCCCTTTCTAAAGTTATTCCATTTAATATTTTAAATTGACATTGTTTTGGCACGTCGAGTACTATAAGTGGTACTTCATTGCAAAATTAATGGACAAAATTAACATTTAATTATGTGGTATACTTATACTTGTATGCATGCATCATTGTGCTTTTGTACCTGATGTTACATTAATTAATAGTATTGTTATATTTGCAGGGAAGTAACCGAGGGAACCAGTGTGACCCTCCCTACATGCCCTTAATTTTATGTAGTACTAGTGCGAGTCTTTGAAATTTTCTATACTACAACGATCGATGCTTAAATAAGGCTACTCGATAGTCGTCACTTTCTTTGAGCATTGTCCCTTTCAGCTTTTGTGTTCATGTCTTACTTATATATAATCTCTTCAGATTAAGAAATATGTAATAGAGTTCCAATGCAATGTGGCGTGTGCATATATATATATATGCACTTATTTGCTACATGTATATTTTACTTTATGGTTGAATTTTCATCTTTTCGTGTTGTTTGTGAGATTGAATCTTCATCTTTCATTGATTGTGAGCTTAAACGGTAGGGATGTATATTGTCTCTCGGTTTGTTTACGCTACAAACTCATCAATTCTAATTAACAATGGACTAACTTTTCTCACTCCAAGTTAAATCGTAGATTTTAATCGAGCTATTTATCTTATATCGGTATCTAGATAAACATCTATCTCCTTAAGATTTTAATTTTTTTTTCACAAGATTTTATCACGCTCCCGGCATATTTAGTCGCCACTTTCTCAATCGAATATCTCATTTCGATCTCAAATCAATCACAAACAAGCACCAATACGAGCTTCAAAAACATGAAACGAGATGTGAAAAGAAGTGAAAATCATGTGCAATGTATTACGTGAAAAAGAAGTGTCAAAATTCAAAATTAAACCAACCTATGGAACATTGCAATGCACTCAATAATTATTCCATATCATTACACTGATAGGCAAGAAACACAATTAGCCCAACCTATCGAACATTGTACACAACATGCATGAAGATAACTAAAGACTTAACCAGAAATTAAGCTAAGATTAAAGCATAAACAAATTAGCTTAGACAATCGAAACTCACTTCCATTGTAATGATGGACACCCCAACTTTAAAAAGCATGGCCTAGTACTCAATCTTAGACTTCCTCAACACGGGCAAGTTACATATCAAAATCAACTTACCTAACCGACATAGGTTGACTCAAATGGCAAGCAACGTCATGTCGCTTAAGCAAGGTCTGAGGTTCGAGTTCTTGTGGATGCAAAAAACCTTTGTTGGGAGACTCACCCACCAGTGCCAGTTGTGCGACCCGGGTTGACCAGCGGATTAGCCGAGACATAGCTCCAGATAATGTGGCTGGCTAAAAAAAAAAAAATCAACTTACCTACAATTAACATTAGAAAAACAAAATAAAACACATCTAACCCGCATTTATTTTTAACACACATTCAAAAAATAAGTAAAAATATAAAAGGGAAATGAAAATAAAAATCAGACCTTTGGAGCTCCTGAGAGTCTTGAGCACAATCCCTTTTAGATCAAACTACTCGTGTCATAATTTCAGATTTAAAAAAAAAAATAATAAAAAATCTGTCACCTTTCTCTTTCTTCCCGAGCGCCGCACAATTCAATTCATGAAAAATGGAAAATCGACGCCACGGCCGATGCAAACGACTCATGATCCATCCGGTATGTTTTTTAATTTATTTTAGAAAACGAATTCGTTGTAATATATATAATAAAATAGTTTATTGAGTAGTTATTAGTTTAAAAAATTATAATTAGTATACTAATATAAGTTGAAAAAATTGTATAATTTTTTAACTTTGTATAATTATATAATAAAAAAAAGAATTATATTAATTATGTGGTTACTAATGATTATTATAATGATATTTTAATACTATTTAAGAAAATAATTACTTGTAATATTTAATAATGTTTAGGAAACAATAGTAATTAATAATATTAATTATGATTAGTTTGCGTCAATATTAGTAATAAATAGTTAAATGTAAATATTTTATAATAATTAACTGAATTTAAAAAGTTTATTTACTAATTATTAGTTTAAATTATTGATTTAGACTGGTGGTAGACATACGCGACCGACCACCGATAGAGAGGTTGCCGAGTTTTTTATGCTGGAACCCGACACACGAGAAGTCGGTATGTAGATGCTTCCGCTCGTTGTTTGTTATGTTTTTGTGCTTATTTTTTGTGTTTTATGTGTTAGTCGAGTCGTTTTTAGGTTTTTTTGAGTGTCATCTGGTTCATTTTGTCGTGTTTTATGTGTTCTTATCGGTATTATGTATTTTTGTATTTCGGCCTTTTCCATTTTTGGTGTGTTTAGGTCCACGATGTTCGGGTTTGAAGGATGCTGAAGTTAATCTCAAACATAATGAAAATGAAAGTGATTATTCATATTGAAAGGTGTGTACAGAGATTTTATACCACGAGCTAAGGGATTTCTTAAGATCTCTGTTAATCCCTTAGTTAACTCTAATTAACTCCTCTGCTAACTAACATTACAATTAACTCTAACTAACTAACAGTATGCCAGCTCATAATAACAGTCAGTTCACAATTACTCTAATACACCCCCGAGAAATGATGCCCGGTTATCTTTGGCTCGAAGAGGCAACCGTGTGCACAAGAGATGAAAACGACCGGGAGATAGAGGTTTGGTCAACACATCTGCCTGCTGAAACTCAGAGGGAATATTTCTCACATCTACCTCCTTCGAAAGAACTTACTCCCTAACAAAATGCACAACAATCTCAATGTGCTTAGTGCGTGCATGCTGCACTAAATTAGAAGCCAAGGCCGCTGCACTGGCATTATCACACCATATGACAGATGGAGACTGAAAAAATAATCCCAGCTCTCTGAATAAGGACTGCATTCACATCAAATCTTTTGTGGCAGTAGCAAGTGATCTATACTCTGATTTAGCACTACTTCTAGCCACCACTTGATGCTTCTTGAGCTCCAGCTGAGAAGGTTAGATCCAGGAAAGATGAAGTGACAACCAGTGGACCTTCTATCATCCACACAACTGGCCCAATCAGCATCAATGTAGGCCTCAAGCACAAATCTAGAAACAAGATGAAAATTTAAACCAACTGAAATAGTGCCTTTGATATATCTGAGAAGATGTTTACATGCAAGCCAATGATGATGAGTAGGAGCATGTAAAAACTGACTGAGCTTGTTAACTGCAAAGGAAATATCAGGTCTTGTCATAGTCAAATAATGCAAAGCACCTATTACACTTTTGTAAAGAGTGGGATATGCGAAAGCCTTGTTGTCACCAAGATGAAGCTTTTTGTGCAGGAGAAATGGGAGTGGAAACTGGCTTAGAAAACAACATATTAGTCTTGGCACGCAAATCAAGAGCATACTTTGCTTGATTCAATAAAAAACTTGTGGAAGTCCTCAAAGCCTCAAATCCAAGAAAATGATTTACTTCCCCATATGTCTCTAAAGCAAATTACTGACTGAGAGAATTAATAAGAGCACGAACCATGTCTGAACTGTCACCAGTGATAAGGATATCATCAACATAGATGAGGTTGAGCAACAGCTTACCATTTTGCCTTTTAAGAAACAATGAAGAATCATAAATAGATTCTTTAAAATGAAGAGATAGCAAGTAGTCTCTGATCTTGGAAAACCATGCCCTGGGAGCTTGTTTGAGGCCATGGAGGGATTACTTAAGTTTGCACACAGCAGTAGGGTGTCTTGAATCAACAAAACCCTCAGGTTAAGACATGTAGACAGTTTCATGAAGGTCCCTATTCAGAAAGGCATTATTGATGTCAATTTGTTGAATGGACCAGTGGTGAGTTGCAGCAAGAGTGAAATTAAGTCTGATGGTAGATGCTTTGACAATAGGACTGAAAGTCTCAAAGAAATCAACACCTGCTATTTGTTGAAAACCCCTAGCCACAAGCCTTGCTTTAAACTTGTCCACTGACCCATCAAGGTTTGATGGGTCTATTTCCGGATCTGGGGTGAACCGGTGGAAAATCGCCCGGATCTGGAATGAACCGATGAGAACGAGCTCAGATCTGTCCTGATGGTCTCCGAATTGCTATCGAACCACAAGAACACCTGCAAGAACTCAACGCCGGAGGGATTTCCGGCGTAGAGCCTCCGACGCTCAAGTCAGTATGTGAAAGAGATGAAGAGAGCTGCTCTGAGAGAGCAGCAACAGTAATGAGAAAGAATATGGAATGAATGGGAGTTAGGGTTTTGGGATTACCTCTGTTCCTTTATATAGAAGTGCAACATTTACCTGAAGTCCCCAAAGTGTCCCGGTCGACTTACTGGAAATGTCTAAAATACCCTGGTCGGTTCACATTCTGCCCATTTCCTAGTCAGCATCTAGATCCTTCCTTAGCTTCCTTCTTATCCTTAACTTTCCCTCGATATGCTGAGGTGTATCAAAGCTGTCGAGATCTATGAACTGCGAGATCCCTTCAGTCGACCTGAGATATCGACTCGAGTTGACTGGATCGTATTCAACCGCTAGTGGATCCTGATACGTCTGACCATCGTCCTAGAGGAAATCGACTTATGTTAGTCGACATGTGTACGTCGACTTAGACGAGTACCGGGATCCTTGACCATGAGTATCATGAAGAGCTTTATTGGCGGAGTCGACTTTGCTAAAGTCGACTTGATAATCTCTGAGCCGTGATGATATGGACCGTTATGAGCCAGTGTGGCTATATCATCTAGTCCCCCCAAAAAATTACTCGAAGCGATTCTGAGCTTAAGAGTAAGTTTTGACGGTCGAATGTCTTCCTCGAGTCTTTTCTCATATTCTGTCGCCTGTCGCTGTCCTAAGCTGTACCCGCTTGTTTTTGCGACTTGCAAAGTGATGTTTACCCAATTGTATTTCGAATTGATTGGATAAGTCTGGATCTTTTCAAATTTCAAAATTCATAAAATAAGACACTTTCTATCTCCATCGCTTCGTATTCTGTGCACCATCTTAACCGTTGAAAATGACTTTAATCTGAGGGCTGGGGTTTCTCTGCCTTCTCTATAAATACTCCTCCCCTTTTCTCGTCTTCACTTTTCGCACTCATCTTCTCTGAGCTTTCTGTTTTCTCCGGCAAACACAGCATCTCAAGCTTTCTGGCGCTCTTATTTTCCGGCGTCCTTCTCAGATTTTTCAGGACTTTCCGTCAACCATCATGAGTATGAGTAGTT